AGTTGTTTCATTATATTCTTCTAAAAGTATTTATGAATCAAGAAGAATTGTTTTTTTCAATCTAATTGATCCGTACTTACTTGATATTCATTTGGATTATGACGATTATATTCGTGTTTTATTGCTTGAATATGATAATCATAATGAAGAACTTCTATTTTATGTTCAATTTTTAAACATAATGGACGAAGATATTGTTTCATATAGTTTTCAAACAATTGTAATATTTGATATGTATAACCATGGAAATGGTCGGTTTCCTTATGCCATTTCATATGATATTGTTCTAGTTGATCGTTAAATTTACGTAAATAACATTTAACAAATTGACTACAGATCTTATGTTCATTTTTTTTATTTATCTCTCTAGATGATAAGATATTTTTGACTTCTTCAGGCCAAATTTTGACATCGACTGGATAGTTACATTGTATTTTTGATTGATTGATCAATTGTCCCATGCCTGATTTTAAATAGATGGTCCACAAACGACGATACATTAAAATAAGCTTCATTTTATGGACTAAAAGTGCTATATCTTGTAATTTTTTTCGTTGATTATTTCTAGTTTTCATAGTGATGATCATAGATAGTGCTTGATCGATAACTATTTGAAAGGATTTATTTTCCAATGTTAAATATTGGGGAATCTTCTTAATTTCCTCTTGAATATTTTTCATCGTCGATGATTGATTCAATTCTTTTAATCTAATGTTTTCTTCCATTGGCTAAAATAAAATCATGATTACTTTTCAGTTGGAATCTATTAGTTTTTACTTTTGAGTATGTTGAGTTTTGAGCTTGTACCTGTTGTTCAATGTTACCATACTAAAATAACGAAAGATGGAGATCAATATTCATTTACATAAACGGTTACTTGTTCAGAATTCGTAAAATTACAAAGATTTTGAATTGATTTTGTTTTATTATTGTACGTTGTCATCATTTGAATTTTGAATATAAATGATAGTCGAAAACAGATCAACTTGTAGTACAATTGTTCAGTATGAGTTGTTGTGTATATCTTATAATTATTATCTAAAACAAAATGATAAACTTTACACAATAATATAAAGAGAAAAAAAAAGGCGATACAGTTATAGACATATATTGTTGAGTAGATGAATAGACAATACAGTCATAGTTCAAGAAAACATCTAGCAAATTATCCAATCAATCAATTAACTACACACGAGAATAAAAAAAAGAAAGTTCACATGAGCATCGATTAAGACTGATGATAAGAGTCCTTATTTTTATATGTTTTGATAGAACAAAAACATTGAAAACTAAATCAATAGTAGAAACAAATTTGAAAACATTCAATAAATAAATTAAAGAAAAAACATTTTTGATTTATTTGTATTTTTGATCTTCGTTAGTAAGTTCATTTAAACGCAGCTACCCTTCATTTCCATGGTTCTACAATTATATTTTCCTTGTTGAAATTCACCGTGATTTAAGTGAGTTTTATTGCTTTGTATGTCACCAAAATTCATTTTTGAAGATTTCTTACCAGAAACGAAAAATGTTTTGCAATACATTACCAAAATATTAACCAAAAGTAATAATAAGAATATTTCAAAAAGAATAGTGATCAAGTGAAATTGGTTCGTTATATTTTTGCATTCTTTTTGGATTATGATTGGTGGTGGTGTGGTTAACTTTGTTGTATGATTTCCACTTAATTCATTAATATAAGTTTTGATATGAGCAAGGTCATGATTGTGATAAACTTGAAAGTGACCATAGTTACCTGGGAGTCTTTCGAAAAAAAACTAGCCATCGTCACTTCGAGATCGAAATACATTTTTATATGTTTTTCTATTTGTAATTTCATGATCGGTGATAATCTAAAACAATAAATTATAGAATACCCCTAGAACCAAAATAATATCATCTATGAAAGGAACGGATGTATTAAAGAAAAAAAAAAAAAAGACAAATTACGATTCCACTGTTTTATCGAATCAACTCTTAGAATATGTTATGATGATAATGATAATGGTATATAGTTCCTAATGACAAAATAAATGATTTTAATCTAGATTCTAGAATAAACGATTAGATAAAGGATAAGTATATTTATTTTTTGTTTTCTATTTTAATCTAGAAATCAAATACATAGAAGTGATTAAATCAGATGAGAATGAAGAAGAAAAAAAAAGAATGCATTTACTTCGTATATGATTTTGTCATTGCATTGTAATTTTTAGCAAGCATTAGATTTGATTCATTTTCTCGTTTGAAGATTGATCGAAGCATACAAATCTTCTTGATTATGTTGACAAATATTTAGCTTTTTTAAAAGTGCACCATCAGAATGTAAAAGGAATTGTCCTTGTTTGTTCTTCTTTGAGCGATAAATTGAAAAAGTATTCCAAATAAATATAACAAAATTTAATATAATTAATAATGAAATTCCAAAAAGAAATATAGTTAGATTAAGCTCGTTGATGTTACTTGTACATTCCTTTTCGATTTTCATTGGTGATGCTGTCGTTAAGTCACCCCTATAAGAGATCTTTAATGCCTTGATCATTTTAGCTAAATCATACAGTCTTATTGTGTCGTTCAATTGCATATGATACGTTTCATTAGCACTAATAGGAATATCAAAATATGTTATACCAGTTGAATTGTAAAACATAGTGATGATTTGTACAAATAACCATTCCATGATAGAATGATGATCTGAAATGTAAATGAAATTAGTATTATTATGAAAAACTAGTATGTGAATACAAATAATTAAATAAGATGATCACTATGTTGATGTATCTAATCAAAACAAAACAAATAAAAGCAATAATAATATTATTTTACAGTCCTCCTCAATAACATGGATGACGTGAAATCGATGTATAGGAATCGAGCGTATTGTTGAAATCTTTTCAAACATTGAACTAAGACTAAATCAAGTCAATGAAGAATATCATGTTGAATATAACAATCTAGAACTAGTGAGTTAAATAATAATCATCATCAAACAAAAAAGAAAAAGAAAGACGATTTCTTTCAAAATATCAAAAAAAAAATTATTTCTTGTTATATTTTAACTTTTGAACATTATACTTCTTCTTTTTACAAAAAGATTCAAGTAAATGAATGATCTTTTTAATTTTCATTTGGTTTTGTTTCATCATATTCAATTTATTTTGAATTACTACAAGAGACAAAATAGTAGTAAAGATAATAATACTAATCATGACTTCATCATTCGAACAGAAAGATATGAAATTAATAATTTGTCTTACCATTTTTTCGCTGACGAATGCGAAATTCAGAATTATTTCCTGATGTCAAACATAATCTCTTAAAAGCAAAAACAAAAATGAAGAATTAATCTTCGCTGGATACACACACATCATCTGATAGTCAATAGTTACTTGTTTTGATTGATATTGGTTTTTGAATAACGTTTTAAACTGCTTAACAAGATTTTCATACTTGTTGAGTTCTTGCATAAGTGTATCGCAATATTGTTGTTGTTCATTTTGTTGAAATTTTTGTAATATTTCAATATATTCTAATTGTTTAACATAATCTACTTCGAATTCGTTGATATCCGTATTGGATTCTTCTTGTTTCAATTGTTCTTCAAGTGATCTTTCCAATAATAAGTATTCTTCTTCTTCTTCTCGTTCTAATTCTTTCAATTGATTTTCAAGATCTTCTTCCATGATTTGATCAAAATCAATTGTTGGACATGTTTTTATTTGTTTGTCATTGTGATATTGGATTTGTTTTTGTTATTCATATGTAAGTTTATTTTGTTGTAATTGATGCCAACGTGTTAAAACATTGTCAATTTGTTCACGAAACGATTTAACATTCGATTGACCTGACCAATTAGTTGTATCCGATTGCTGTTGAAAAATATTAATTTTTGGATTATAATGATGATCGATTTCATAAAAAGTGTTCTGCATAGTTACGTCGAATAGGAAATAAAACAAAAAAAATCTAAAACAATTCTATCCTATCGAAACTATTGAAAAAAGAAACAGAATATCGAATGACATAAATAAGTAGAATAAGTGATAATCTAATCAAATGACACTACATCAACTATAAGTTGTGTTAATTATAAAGATTCAATTTTTATTTTTAACAATTGAGCTTTAAATGTATAGATACACTTGAGGCGTGCATCAATATTTGTCAAACGTTGATCTATGAGATGAACCATTGTTGGAGTTAATCGCTGGTCAGGTGAAAATGTTCTTTGATTGTGCCACATTTGCTCGAATTCCTTATTGAGTTGTTTTTGACATTGATGCATATGTTGTTTAATTAAATCTAAAGAAATTGTTACCTTATTTGTTGATGTATTTGATTCGATTTCTGCATATTGTTTAAAGAATTTTTCTTGCATCATAGCTCTATGAGCAGTAACTATCAAAGATGAGTTTGCATTATGTTGACTTTGAACTGAATTTGAGAGGCAATTTTCAGATATTCGATTTTTAAATAAATTGAATTCATATTTTGTGATTGTTTCTTCATATTTATATTTGCAGAGGCGTTTAAGTAATTCTTTCTAATTAAACAACAAAAAAAATATTAATTAGATTAGATTTAAAATAAAATTTTCCTTTTGTTTGTTGTTTTTCGTCGAATCTTACTTGTTTTATATTGGGATTCTCATTTGAAAAGTGGCATTTCAATATTTCATCAATAAAATGATATAGAACAAGTGTAATTTGACAATCATATTCAATATGTTGACTCATAAATTCATGTTGTATAAACTTCTCGATAGTAAATTCCATAGCCAGTGAATAATCAGTAACATGACATGTTTGAAAGCGTAATTGATGTCGATATTCATCGTTTTTTTCATTTAGTTTTTGTAGACAATGATCAATAAACATCTGACATGTCTCATCGTCATAAGCATGTGTATTTTCAACCTGTCTAATACGTGTATGAACTGCAATTGGCCAAATTTTTATGTCTAATTGTTTAATATGTGATGGTAATTCAAGAGTACCCATGCCTACTCTACGAAACATTGTCCAAAGTGAAGTTATCCTTTCAAGTAATGATATCTTATACATAAGAATAGCTATTTGACGTAATTCTTCCGAATGCTTTTCATTAATTGTTGGTTGTATAGCACGCATTTTGTCTTCGAGTAATTTATTATCATTAGATAAATAATGAGGAATTTTATCAATAACTATGCCAATCAGTTCATGAAGATCAACTTCCGTATAACGAAAAGTTTTTGTTATTTTTTTTCTCATTGTATTTAGTAATGGACTTAATGATTGTTGCCTTGATTGACTAATAATTGTATTAGTATTCAAAAATAATAATTTGTCCATTTGAATTAATTCAAAATCATTGTATTTTCTATCATCATTATTATTCACGATGTAACCTTGATTTATTGGATCATTGTTTTCGCCGCCGTTATCATCATCATTATAATTATCATTAAAAAAGAGTTCGTTGACAAGTTCATCGAAGACATCGAAATTTCCACACTATAGTGTAATAAACAAAATTATGAGAAAATTTTATTCAGTTGATTTATATTCTTAATTTTGTTACTTTATCTTCATCAACAGAAGTTGAACTACGATTGGCTGTCGACATGATTATCCAATTAATAGATAGCTGATGGAGAAAATTTCACAGTAATAGAACCAATAGAATATCTATAAAGAAGAAGAAGAAATGATTATTATGATCAATTTCTAATGAAATATCCTTCTATTGTTAACATAGGAAAAACAAATTCAATATAAAAACAAAAAACAATTCAACCTAATTAGACGTTTATAATATTAATAACGAGAAACAATTAAAATAACATACAATGATGATATTTTTCTTTGAACAATTTAGTTAGATTTATTTCGAGATCTACATAACCAAGTGGTTCTTCCACCAGCTGTTGCAACAAATGGATCCATCTCTTTTTGCATTTGCCATAAGGAATCAAAGCCAGAATCTTGAAAGAACATTTCTTCAAACAGAGAAGATGGTGTATGATGCTCTTGGTTTTGTAAAGGAACATGATTTTCCATTGCGGATTCAGTTTTTGATCATTGATTTATTAATGTATTCTTCAGGATCTTCTTGTGTTTCCATTGTTTATGTTTTTGTTGTTATTGTTGTTGTTGTTGAGGATACTTTTGACATTGTTGTTGTCTAACTTTTGTCACTACTTTCAAAAGTTTTGTTAAGAGTGGAGTAGGTTGACCTTTGGCAGATTTCATAGGATGTAATAAGACTTGTTTCTTTGAATTTATAGTTAAATTTTCAGAATTATTCGATCTATCTGTAGATATTGTTCCTTCTAGATGAAAATTATTTTTGTTTAGTCGATTAAAATTCATAATAGTACATTACTACTTACTTTTATGTTTCTCAGAAGATGGAACAACATTTGAAATTAAACTTTTATTTGTCATTATAAAATTTGTTAGATTAAAAGGAATCTAGAATAGAGAACAATAATATTTAATAATAATAATGAAAAGAAGAAAAAGAAAAGACACAAATGTGAAGCACTAGAGATTATATGATTATATATATATATATATATATATATATGAATAAAAGAAGTAAAACATAACAAAGTTAAAATTGATATGAAGGGATTAAATGAATAAATCAAATTAACGAGAACATGTTCATTAGAATTTCTTCGACAAATTATGCAATGGATTTTGCTCGCTGAATAATGCATTTAATGAATGTTGATGTTTTGTCATCATTTTTATTTTTATTGGATTAGTTTTTGATGATGTATTATTAGTTGTTTTTAAATTTCTGGATAAAACTTCTTGTAATCGTTGATTAAATTGACGTTTTGGACCAAATTCATATAAATAAGTCAATTGAACACGTTCATTCTTCTTGTCCAATTCTTCGTTATTCTTCAAATAACTTCGTTGTTCATGAATAAAATTAAATAATCGATGACGAAGTTTCTTGTAAACATTTTCATTCAAACATGTACGCAAAGAAACAGCATCAAAATGAGAATAAAAATGATTGATTCGTTTTTCAATAAATTTCAATGAATAACCATTAGCTAACCATGTTACTTCTAGATAAACACGTTCTTGATTAAAATCTATCACCGATGTGCAATAACGAACAGCTCGAATTAGAGCCAATCGAAACCAATGACTATATGATACCTTGGAATGACCAATGACATAAGGTAAAGTATAGGGTTGCATTGCGGAATTGTGATCAACACGACTATACAATATGCCATGTTGATTTTCAATATACGCATTTAAGAATCGAACATTGGAAGCTATGTTGATATCAAATTTTAAGTTTATATTTTCAGTACGCATCGTTTTTAGAATAGAATTTAATTGATCAAATTGTCCAGTCCAAGTAAAAATAATTTGATCTTTATAACTTGAATAGATAATTAATATAAATGATTTTTGAATAGAGAAACAATAAAAAATAACGAACACTTACCGACCATAGAATTCATTTTTTAGAACAGTTGTTTTCGCTAATGATTTAAAACATTGAAATAGATACATATTTGTTAGAGTTTCCATGAACGGTAAACTTATTGGACCGCCTTTAACAAAACGATAGATTTTATTATTGTAATAAAATCGATTGTTATGTAGAAATACGGAAGTTAAACGAAAAATTTTACCAAGCGATAAATTTTCTATCTCTGGTACGATTATATAATCTCTTAAAAAATCTTGAAATGCATTTAACATAACATCATGAGATACCATATGAGGAAAATTAAGAATTTTGATTGTGACAAACTTCGTTGTTGGACGAAGACGTTTTCCATTGTCGTCTTCGAAATATTGATTTAATTTTTGAATAAAATCAGTACCATTTCGAAAGATATTCGAACTTATAAACGCTTGAATCATAGGTCGTAATGATTGCTCTAGATAGGATGCCAGTCGTGATGTTGCACTCTTCTGTGAAGCAATAACAGGTTGTAATAATAGATTATTTTCTCTCTCAAATAGTAGAATACAAAAAGAGTTAGAATTAAAAAATGAAAATAGAATGTATTTACTTGAGAAATATCTGGTAAAAAATATAAATAAGGCAAGTTAGTTTGTTCAATTTTTCCACAGATTCTATTTAATATGTCTTTAAATTTCTTTCTATCACCGACAATCATTTCCAAATCTTGATTCAACGAGTTAATAGTTTTTGTTAAATATTCCTGTTGTGATTGTATATTTTGTTTATCTATAAGTTCACATAATTGAAATATATTTGTTTTTTCCATATATTCATGAGATTTTTGTTCAAAATGACTTCTATCATCAAGATAAAAAACATTTCTTTGATCAGCTGTCCGTCGTAAAATGAGATCATAGTGTTTTAATTGTTCTTGTATTGTTTGTATCAAATTATGTTCATAGAGAGCACGTTGATAAAGACCAATTGGTAATGGTAAAGAAAAAGTAGATGTATAGATTTCTTTAATTTCTTTACTAATAAACATGGATTTTGCCGTATTAACATTATGTTTTGCATATAGAATATTTAAATCATGTTGTAATATTTTGTATTGTTGATGAATCATTGTATTTATAGATGATGATCCATCATCGAACGATGGCGTTACTACATATGTCTGATAGGGTGGAGCATAGGTGGGTCCACGATTTAATAATTTCAATTGTTGATCAGTAAATAGATGTGATGGACTTGCCATAATCATTGTTGGTGAAAAACGAATGTTCGATAATATTGTCGTATCTGTAGTAATATCGTAATGATTACGAAAATAATAATTAATTTTAAACTTTGACATAGAATCATATTTTTTATCGAGCATATTGAAACGTTGATTGATTATATCTAACATTGATTCTGTTATTAATCCTTGATTTGTCGCTTGATTATAGACAGAGACTCGTCGCAGTTCCTTATTAAGTAATTCTTCATTTTCATATATTTTACGTTCAGCTTCTATAATTGATTGAACCATTAAATCAGTCATTTTTGCTTGTAATTCTTTGTCTCCTTCATCGATCTGTTGTTGATGAATTCGATGATCTTGTGTTGATTCAAATGTCCATGGTATTACCATAGTTAATGCTTTATTATGAATCATTTGTGTTGGCTTATTGCAAAGAACACGTTGTTTCAATTCAATCCAATCATATTTTGATTTTAGATGTGTATCTTTTAAATCGGAGAGATGTTTCTGAATTTGTATCTAAAATGAGAGATAGTGAATATATATATATATATATGTATATATTTCTTTTTTTTTCAAAGATTTTTATTTTTTATATCATAGAGCTTACTTGAGTGTCTGTTGGTTTGAGTTGTACATATTTACGTTCGAGTAATCGATTCTCATAGTCACATTCATAGACAATTAATTTACTGTTTAATCTCATTTCAAGTGGTACTATACTATGTTGTTCGACAAATGTTTGAATGACATTTTCTATTTGATCTGAAAAACCAATCAAACTATTTTTCTTTTCAATATAATCTGCATGATATTGTTCTAATTGTTCATCTAATTCTTGTAAATGTTCATCAATGGCCATTTCACAAATTTTGTGTTCATTTATTGTCTGATTCATCATATTCATGGTACTCAATTTGGATGGTATCATACTTGTAATGACCGTTGACCAAATTTGTCGATTTACAGTTGTATTTTTACTTTCACATGTTTCCCATTGACCTGTACCTGATTTTAAATAGACTATCCAGAGTTTCTTACTTAAATTTATTTTTGCTATGTTATTTTTTAAAACAGCTAAATCACGTAGATCTTCTATTGACATTGTTGTTGTTGTCGTGTTCAATATATGATGAGTCATCGTATGATCGAACACACCATTTAATCGCTCCCAATAGTCGATTATATCTTCATGTTGAATTTTACGATCATCCCAATTACGAATTTTTTTCCAGACTATATCTAGTGTTGATAATGTGCTTTGTGAACGTTTTAAGTTGTTTCTTGTAGAATCGTGTTCAGTGTCTGTTAATAATTGACTAGATTTTTGTGATAGTACTCGTTGTTGAACAAGCTAAAACATTGAAGAACTCGTGAGAAGAATATAAAAATATATATATATATAGTTTTTACTTGATCTGGAGGATTCATTTTGTCTATGATTATTTCCTCTTCATCTAGATTTGCATTTGTATAATCGAAATCAATATCGTGATTATATTCTTCTAGAATACTTTCTTGATCTTCATTTAAATCGACATTCTGTTCGTCATCATCGAGAATATCAAATGGATCATCTGAAGTAAGATGGATATTAGTAGCCATTTGATAGATATCTCTTTCTTATTGTTGTAATAATATAGAATAGAATGAATATGATGCTTTCAATCTAAATTAGTCTAATTAGAAAGGAGAAAAACAAAAATGGGAAATATATGAATAAAATTTAATGTAATAGAAGACTGTTATTGATTATGTATACTTCAAGATTTCCATTTGTATTGTGCGAGACGAGGATGTAGTAAATGTTGATACCAAGAAGGATCTGATAATTCACATAAATCAGTTGTGGTGACAACTAATTTAGGCTCAGTGAAAACAGTTAACAAAGCTTGTACAGTATGAAGAACTGAATGAGGAGCATCTTTTGGTACTAGAACAAATGAATAAAAAAATCAAAGTCTATAGATTCAACTCATGATAGAATGACTTTGCAAGCCATAATAATAGCAACATTGTAGATATCGAGATGTGGTGATATGTATCGATCGCGTCGATTTCGAAAAAATGCATATTGTTCAATGATTTGTCGAAAAGAAAATTGATAGTTCAATGGAGGTGTAGGAATATGATCAACACACCATCGTACCAATGTCATATTGCGTTGATAACTATGTATTTCTGTTTCTATTGTTGCTGGATTTCGATATTGATTTAAGAGTTCTATGTCAGTAGCAGTTAATTTATCATCATCAAGCAAAGCTTGCTCTTCAGTCATAGGTATTAGACACCAAAAATCTGGATGACATTTCAAGAATATTTCTAAAGCAACATGACATTTTGTTGAGTGTTCGTAGATCTTTTTTTCGGATTGTAATACATAATCTAAATTTAAAAAAAACAAGTATACGTATAGAAGAAACATTGAACACGAACATGACAGTCACTTACGGATTAGAGTCTCCTTCTTCTCCAAGATGATCAGCAAGAATAGAACCAATCAGAGAATTTCGAATTATTCGACATCCCATGATACGAATACCTAAATTTAAATAAAAATGATATTTCACTATAGATACTACTAAATCAAATTATATTCATTACGTGTCATTCGATCACGAAAAGGTTCAACACATCGACCCATATAATCATATTGATGACATGGACATGTCAAACTATAGATGACATTTGATGTCGTACAAGTCTAAATAGATGATATATATATATATCGTGATAGTTCTAGAACTTACAACATCACAATTCAAATAGACTTGATAATTATTCAAGAAACAATGAACTTGATTATTTGAAAAATTCATTGCTGGTTCAAATCGTTCCGTTAAATCAAGTTTTTCATAACAGAAACAGCAACTTTTATCTCGACATTGTTGTATACCATAGTGAGCTGTTGGAAGTTTTACTGAAAAGATTCCTTCATCACTTAATGCATTAGTCTTCATGTAGAAGCAGGACACTAAATTAAAGATGATATCTCTGTCGATATTATTATTTTTATTACATACTATCCATTTGTAAATAGAATTCTAAAATTAGGAACCATTCTTCAGCAGATAATTCATAAGGTTTACCACGTTGTTCAAGTACGGTAATGTAATCTTTTAAATTAAATTGTGGTAACAGATGAAACAATCGATTTAGATTGAACATGAGAACAGTTGGATGTAGACGCCATGTGTACGAATATGACATTAACAGATTTTGTATATCAGATCTAAATTTTTCATCAAAATAAAGTCTTATATTAAAATTTTTATCTTCATGATGATGTGCTTGTCGAATTCTTAGTTCTAATGTAGATAAATTATCATCTGAATCGATATGATTCATATTTCAAAATGAGGGAAAAAATGAATCTTATCGATAAATACATACAAGCTACATTTGCTAACAGTGGAAAACATTCATTGGAATCATTCCAAAACGGAAAAACTGGTAGAAACAATTGTTGAAGTGTAGTAAGATGTGTTGTCAATGAACGTATCTGACATAATCGAGAGGCATTTTCATTCAGTGGAATTGGTAGCCATTGTTGTTGTTGTTCTATTGGAGAAGAATGATCAGCTTTTTGGGTGGCAATATGTTTTCTATTGGATATAGTTTGTACATGATTTGCCAAAATGGGATCTGTTGAAAGTAAACGTTGACGAAACATAGTTTATGGTCTTGAATTGAAAATTTAATCGAACAAAAGAAGACGAATGAATCTAGAAATTATGTTTCAATAATGAATAACACGTCTAGATTGCTTTCAATGAAATAAAATGGAATGATGAGAAGAGAATTGAGAAACTATTCTATGTTAGTATATGATCGTCGAATGAGATCTCGACACCATTCATTACAATCGATGGAAGCTATTTGATCAGTGTTTCTAGATGTAGTTAATTGATCTAAATGACCGATTGTATTGAGTTTTGTTTCAGCATGTGTAATAAATAAAGCTTCCACGAATCGTCTCAAAGCGTCTGATGTATTATCGGGCACTATAATGTTAAAATAGGGATAAAACAAAAACAAAGGTGATGAATTAAGGAATTATTTTGTATTATATAAGGGAAGGTACTTACATACGGCTACAATACTTGCTTGATATAGATCAAGATGAAGATTTGGTGAATTTAAATATTTCTTTTCATGAAAAAAACGGTCCATTTCCAGTTTCTGTTCGAAACTAAATCGATAATTGTTCGGTGGCTCAGGTACATCATTGGCATAGGTGAATTGATTCGTGCCCATCATGGGTCTAGTGATAAACCAGATAGAGATTAGCAGTAAAAATAAATGCTTACGTTAAAATATATTTTTCTTCGTCTTGTTCTTGTGATTCAGTCAGTTTCTGTGGAACAAATGACCAATATTCAGGATTTTCATCAAGAAACCATTGTAGTGCCGATGGACAATGAGCAGAATGTTGATAGAGTTTCATATCATTTTTAACCAACGTTCTAATCATCATCATCGTGAAGTCATTGGTAAAAAACCATGTTCGAAAATATAAACTTACTCAAATTATTTGATTTGATTACGTATGTGAGATGTGTTTTGTTTGCCCAAAAGACATTCTTGTATGATACGATTGACGTGTGTTTGATGAACTATGAATCAGATTTTAAATGAAGGCAAAATGTAAAAGTGGAAATTAACTTTTAGCTATTTACAAGACAGAAGATTAGCTAATGATACACTTGTTTCACCAATATAATCAAATTTATTACATGGACAAGTCAGAACATAAATAATATTTTTTGTTGTACATGTTACCGGACAATTAAGAATCGATCGATAGCCATTGATGAAAGAATGCCGTCGATTGGGTCTAAATTGAATGATAGGCTGATATGAACGATATGTTAATCTATACGATGGATAACATAAACAACATGAACGCTGTTGGCATGCTATGATACTATATTGAGCTTGTGATTCGTGAATATAGAAGAGACCTTTTGGTACATCGATATCAGGTTGAGCTCCTCGATAGGAACATGTTTTCATATAAAAGAGATCAATATCAATTTGAAGGTAAAATTCCAGTGCAATAGTATATTCATCTTCATGAAGATATTCTTGATTTGAATGAGTAGAAAAACGATGTACTCGATTCGCTGCAAACTGATTGATTAAATACATGAGTCGTTTAAAATTGAATTCAAGAATTTCTTTATGCACATTCCATAAAAGACTCAAAGTGAAGAGTCTTCGTTCGTGATCATTGATCGGTTTAACTGATGTTGGCTGATGAAATCCATCGATTGATCTTTGTTTTAATTCTTGTTGATTTAATTGATATACTACATATCGAGAGAGAGAGAGAGAGAAAGATAGAAAATATAAAAAAAGAAGATTGATACTTGGAATATTGGTTAATAAGAGATCAATTCTTGTCTCATCATTTGAATTTGGATAACAAGGTAAAAGTAAATAACGCCTAGGAGACGAAGAAGCATTATGATTTAATGTACATGGTACATAACCTGAAGAGATTTACAAAACATTTATAGAAAAATAAATAAATAAACAAACAAATAAAAGCATAAACTCTTGAATTATATTTATCTTACTTGATTGTATACGACAATTCAAAAACATTATTACACAAATGATGAATGAATAGGCGAAATGTGTAAGACACTTGATTGATATGTAGAACAAATAGATTCAATTATCTACAATCAAAATTCAATTAAATAAATAAATCAATAATTATTAAGAAATCAATTGAAAAGGAAAAACGATCAAATGATGAAAAAACAATGCACCTTATTTTTTGATTGAACGAAGTGTTGGAGCTTTAACAAGAAAATCTGGTTTAATATTGTAGATATATTCTAAACATTTTATGATATTTTGTTGACGTTGATCAAATATAGTAAGTAAATTCTCTGTTAATCGTTCATCATTAGGAAGTTGACGTTGATTATCCCATAATTGAATCATTTCTTTATCATATGTTTCTCTATGTTCATCTTTATTAAATTGAGCCGCCGTCGACAAGACAGACATTAAGTCATATTTAGCCTTTTGTATTATTCTTACGTATTGCTTTGATAATCGTTCACGTATTGCCGTATCATTTAGATTAGTAATAGTTGTAGGAAGTGTTTCTTCGATTATATTTAATTTATCAGGTAATTTGTTATATAAAACGCCCATTTGAAATAAAGTAAGTTCTTGTGAAGATTTTCCTTTGTTATACACTAGATCGCTAATTCTATTAGCTAATTTTATCTAAGATAAACAAAAACAATCGATTTATAGCCATATAATTTATTCCTACTTGTATTTCATTAGGTTTCTGTTGGAGATATTCCTTTTGAAAAACTTGATCAATATAATTATATTCAACTAATGCAGTTCTTGCTTCAAAATGAAGTCGTATGGCAGTTGTCAGATCTCTCTTTCGTACAAATGTATCAATTTTATCGACAATATCAGTAAGTACAGATTCGAAACGATTTTTAATCATTTCAAATCCAATTTGCATTTGCTTTGCTTTCACATCAAAGTGAAGTTGAATTTTATTGACAAAATTAACATAAATATCTTGAGTAATTTTATTTTTGTCAATAATATTATTATAATTTTGTTTGATGAGTATTGTTGTAACTTGTTGAGGCCAAATACAAAGTGATGAAGAGAATTTTTGTCGTTGTAATCGTTCATTTAAATTGAGTTTACCAGTACCACATTGTATATAGGTATACCAAAGTTTTCGTTGTAAATTAATAATAGATAATTTGTGTGTAACAATAGCTAAGTATTGTAAATCATAGAAATCATCAATTTCTTGATAGCAATACAATTCAGAAAGAAAATTAGCTCGAAAACTTGATTTTGATACTGATAAATAATCAGGTATTTCTTCTTCTTTGTTGTCATCTAGAATATTGAAATCTAAATCTAAATCTTTTGCTTCGATATCAAGTTCATCAGCGAGTGACTTGAACATATTGTTGAAGTTAGTAAATTTTATCGGCTAGAAATACAAGATATATTTTCAGAAAAAGAACTATATATTAAAGAAGATGACTTACGAAAAATGTTGTTGTAGTCATAATCGTTGAATTTTATTTATTTGAGAATAAAATCATATATCTAGAATAAAAGACAATGACACATAGTTCTTATGATATTAATTAATGTATTCTAATGAAGATATAGTAATTGATAATATTTGAAATAACACATGAGAAATATTATTCATTAGCCTATAAAAATTCAACTTAAAAAAATCATGAGACTTATCCATATATATACCGAAACAACAGAAGCACATTTCGTGGCATTCGATGGAAGATAATCATACGTATATGAACGGACCATCTAAAAAAACAAAATCCACTTCTATTAAGGTGACAAATGTTGAATAGACACACATACTTCTTTATTGTCAATCTTTATATCATCGAATTCATCATAAGTGGAGGCCATCTGAAAACTATGATTCTGTTGAAATTCACTGGATGCATCTAGATTTATAAATATCATATTGTATATTCCATCTTCTCTGTCTTGTGTATATCGATAAGAAAAGAAATAAATAGTGACATTAACTTACAATGAGATATAGAATTTGTTTTATTTGATTTTTGTATGACATTAAGTAATTTTCTTATACTAAAGATAAGTATCAATAGAAATACGAGGACCATTAAAATACTAATAATAATGGTATGTCGATGTTGTTGCACGAGAGTATCAAGAAATTGATCACTCGTATTGATTGATGATTTAGTTAGATTTTCTGTATGAAATGCCATGTTACGATGAAGACAATCCTTGGGTAATGGAGCTATCGTACAATTGATTAAAATTGGTTTGATATTGTTTTCATGAATATGTAATCTACCAATTTGTTCGGTCAGTTTCTGTGCATGCGTTAGATAAGTAACATTCTCTGTTTGAACAACATATAAATGGCTGTTATTCTTGAATACATAGTAAACTGGAAAGATGCTCATAGAATTCTTCATACCATTCATTAAACAACAGATAATATTGAAGTAGAAGATCTGAAGAGCATGAATAAAAATGAGCATAAGATTAATTTTTTAGATAAGACTACGGAGATAAATCGATATTCTTAAGAATAAATTTTTTTATAAAGAAAATTTAAAAAGAAAAAAAACAGCAACTATAATGTATCAATAATCTATGATTAGGAGATGAGATTGATTTGAAGTTTTTGATTTTTTTCTTAAATCATATTATTGTTCATTGCACCTGTTGATTGTAAATCATGATGGCAAATTGTGATAATTAAATGATCATTTGATTGCATCATCTAAATGTTTTTATTCGTTCCAATCGAAACAAATTTATAAAACACGTCTATTAACATACGTTGCTTTTTTCATGTATTATATTCTTCTTCTTATTGTCTTGATGTTGAGTTTTTATCTTGCAGATAGATTGATGACTATCTAGAAAATATACACAAGTATAAGTGAATCCTTTTTATGATTTACGGAGTAATGAATATGAGATGAACTGACCTTGGAATAATAAATTCATATGAAAATATTTTGATACTTTGATCAAAATAATAATCATTAATGTAAAAACAATAGCAAATGTAATAAAAAACTAAGAATCATTTGAAGAGCATGTCGATTATTTTGTAGAAAATTAACAAAGTCATTTGTAAATATGTTTCTGTAATTCGAATGACTATTGATATTATCATGAATGATAGAATTATTTTCAGTGGCAATCGGTGCCTGATCAAAATGATCCATATTATCATTGGTAATTTTATTTTCCAACCAACGTGGTCTGTATGTTTCTGGACGCCATGGATAAGTAAGCATGATTTTCGAAAATGAATTAAAATAACTAGAACAGAGAAAAAAAACAATGCCAAAGAATAATTTATCTATAGAGATTTTTTTCTTTTTCTTTTTTAATGTTTTTATAGTTCGTCAATGAAAAACATCAAAAACAAAACGAATTTGTCGATGACAAAACTGCATCATCTCTTCTTGATTATGGTATGATATTCGTTGTTGCATCATAAAGAGGAATTGTTGCATAACTTTGATGATTAGAAAGAAATGAAAAACGTAGGAAAATAAAATAGAAATGTTTTTGTTTTTGTTACTTACACAAACGGCTTTTGAAGATCTTTTTGTTGTAGTATATTGGGCTTCAAACTTCTATCTAATATATATATATATATATAGCGTTAAATATAGACACAGATTGTTTTCGAATGTTCTAAATGAATATTAGTTCATCATATTCTCACTTGTGACATTTTGTTGATGGTGAATTGACGTCCGTTGATTTTTTAATTGTCGTTGCTCTTGTGATTGTTTTCGATAATGTTGATAATAAACAAACGGTAGTACGAGAACAAAGAGCAGAACGAAAAAAATAATTAGAATAGTATATATAAACATTGAATTTGGCAAGGGGGAAACGGCGGATTCCGGATTCTCCGGATTCCCAATATTCCCGGGATTCCCAATATTCCCGGGATTCCCAATATTCCCGGGATTCCCAATATTCCCGGGATTCCCAATATTCCCGGGATTCCCATTATTCCCGGGGTTCCCAATATTCCCGGGATTCCCAATATTCCCGGGATTCCCAATATTCCCGGGATTCCCAATATTCCCGGGATTCCCAATATTCCCGGGATTCCCAATATTCCCGGGATTCCCAATATTCCCGGGATTCCCGTGGGATTCCGGGAATCCCGGAATCCTGGAATCCCATGGATTCTCGGAACGTTTATAATAACGAATGACATTCCAGAAATTCGTATTTAACCTCTATGATCTTCACTCTAGTCCCGAAAATCTCATAGAGCTCAGTGCTAAGGGTTCACTGCTTTATCAAATGACTAGAAAAGCTGCATGAAACTATTGAGTAAAAGTATTTCCTAGGCGAAATTTTGTTTTCATATGCTTGACCTGTCCAGACATCAAGATTTGTCCATAGCTCATAACTTTCTTGTTCAAGAATCTCAAGCGACGCGCATGGGAGCGAGAATTTCATTAATATCGTGATTAAAAACACTAGATATAATTTCGCAAGTCGAAATTATAGCCAGGAGAAAAAAATTTGATCTGGAAAGTGATTGAAACTCAAAACTACCACTTTTTGCATACAATTTTTTTCTTATGCTCATGGAATGCGCAGCCCTCCAGATTTTTCCACAGTGCATGACATTCTTGTTTCAAATGCTCATGTATTTCATGTGCATACCACAAGGTAGTTCACTAGGGCTACCTATTTTTAAAATTCTAGACACTTAACCTAATTGGATGGGTATCCAGTTCATTTTGACAACTTGGCAGTTTGCTTTCGTATTCTTAAGAGAAAATGCCCGAGGCAGCATAACAAACAGCAGCAACGAATGCGATAAATTAATGAGATACAAGAAATATGTCGAATCAAATGAATCTATAGCATTTTATGTGCAATCTGTTATTCATTCAGTGATCTGATAGTTAAACATGTCTAAATCAATTAAGTAGTAGCACAGCCGTCCTGTCTATTAAAAGACAAGCGACTCTCTATCTATGACTAAATTGCTTTTGGCATCAATTTTTACACAAGAGGAATAATAGTTTGAGATTGAAGGAGAAATTGGCTCGGGGGCTCTTATTATATGAAATTGAGATTTATCACTAGTTGACAAAGAAGACGAATTATAAATTTCGCCTTTCGATCAGCTATATTTCTCTGATTTCGATAAAAAAGCAATATTATATTTGAAGTACTAGCTTGACTCTTGATCGAATGAGTTTTAATGATTTTCGCCAGATTAGAAAATATAGATTTGTTTCACACTAGACTCGTACAACTGCTTTACTTTGTTTTATCGCAGATTCTCTTGTTTTCTTCCAAGCAAAATTAACATAAAATCTGGAAAGAAGATTATAGGCTAGATTATAACCTTGGCAAATATCTTCTTAAAATTATCACAAAGGAGAAGATCATGAGATCACTTTGAAGCTGATTGTTTTGAACCCGTTTTTTTCTTATCTTTTGTGACATTTTGAAAACTTTAATGAAAATTTCAACTCACTGCATTTGAATAGGAACAAAACAGATTCCACATGCACTAGAATGCCTGAATTTTGTCCGAATATTCAAGATCTTCATCGAGTTCCGCATCTCTATCCGTTTTGTTTTCTAGCTATCTGCCTTTTTCTCGAAGATTCAATTAATAGCTTCAAGCTTTCCTTGAAGTTTGAAAGTCGAGTGATCTTTATTCTTCCACAGAAAAAAATTAGCCCAGTCAACATTAAGTCTAGACAAATTTTGGTCAAAAAAATGAGCTCCATATTTAGAGCTCACAAATTTCTAGTTTCTCCACAAATTGGAGCTTGTAATTAAATGCGCTGTTGCTTGAACATCATCAATCGACCAAGCATGGCGAATAGTATCCATTTGAGTAATCAGAAATACGGAGTTAAAGTTCTGAGCTAGAATTTTCAGTGAAAACCAGACATTGGTAAACTCCAAAATTGGAGCTCACTCTTTTTTACCACAATTTTTTTCATAAGATATGCATCAATACTAAAGACACAAAAAAGCTCTTCTGTTTCATTTTCCTTTGCCCATGAAAGGACCACAAAAACCAAAGTAACATCGATCAGAACTAACCCGTTACGTTTTCTCATTAATCATGTCTATTTTATTAAACTAGCCGGATAGTGAACTAATATCAGCTAATCGGTTAGTATACCGTTCCGATCATTTGGTAAAAAGTCAATAGATTATTTACCTGTTTTTTTTGTGTTAATATTCACGGGTGGATCATTATGGGTCAGTCTAGAAGAATAGTGTTGACCGCAGAACTGCGACTTACTAAGTATTGGATAAAATGAAAACACCGCAAGTTCGTCTTCTGAGCTAGTTCCTTAGATCAATTATAACTATATATTCTCTGTTGAATTTAAAGTTGTAGTCCGATTCACCTTTCTATGAACCAATATGAGCGTCATTGTGCAAAGCGTTTGAGATTCTCACCTAATACAACTGTATAAATAATCATATTAGATGCCATGATTTGGGTCACATTATTTCGTTAGAAAGCAGTACCTTCTATAGCCCAGCATTTTCAGTTTACGATATTGATGAGGGTGATCATCAACGTTTTTCTTCCATCCCCACGAAGCATTCACATCCACACGCTTATTTTCCATACCACTGCATAGCTCTCTTAGAGGAATGGGTTTCAAAATATTAAATGAACGAAGTGATATTTGTTATGCATGACCATGAGCTATGATTTCAGTGTTGTTCAGACAGTTAATTTTAGTATTTCTTGGATCTCCATTGGATTCCCGGACTCTCTTGGGATTCCCCGATTTCCTATTGGATTCCAGGATTCCCATGGGATTCCCAGAAAATTTGGAAGGTACTAGACCAATTCGTCGCCGGACAATTCGTCGCATGGACAATTCGTCGCCGGACAATTCGTCGCCGGACAATTCGTCGCACGGACAATTCGTCGCAATGTAAATTGATGAAAGTGAATATCACATGTCGCTTGATATAATTGGATCAAGTAGAATATGTTTAATTAACTGAATAGACTCACGAATTCTGAAGTCTGTGTTATGGATCTCAAGGAAAAAACGAATAATCTAATAGTATTTTGAAAAAATCAGAAAAAGTCAATTAATTTTAAAAATAAATATAAAATAAATCTGCTCAGTGACAGAAGAGATTTCTTGTCAATATTCATACTATAATCTGTTTAAAAAAAGCGATGAGTACACATACAATCAAAATATTTACAAGTGAAAAGGGAAACTATGCTCGGTTATGAAGGTTATATTTATACCTTAGAAAGAAAAACTGACGCTAAATTGATTTTTCGATGTCAGAACAGAGATTGTAAATATCTTTTCCTGTTTTTTTTCGACTAGAAATACTTTTTCTCTCAATAAAATTCCTCTATTATATATTTCAATTTAAATTGCTATGTTGTATCAATTTTTCTACATTTTCATTAGTCTCTCTCAATTGAATTAGAACAATCATCAATGCGATGAATTGTCCGTGGGACACATTTTTCTTGCCACGAATTGTCCGCGACGAATTGTCTCGCGACGAATTGTCTCGCGACGAATGGTCCAGTCACCATTTGGAATCCTGGGAAACCGCATATTCCCCCTTGATTTGTATGGTGCTTCAAGGTTATACTTTATCATAAGGTGTTCTGCGTACTATGAAAACTAACACAAAGTAGTCGATAATTATTCTTAAATAGGAAGTACAATCGACAAGTATCAATAAATCGTAAATATTTTTGCTTCCGAAAGATCGGTATTTTTTCACACTAGATAATAAAGATCGCTTTTGTAGAAGGAAACATATCTATTACGGAATATAAATCACAATTTACTAACAGAAGATACCTACTCAGTTACCTGAGAAAAGAAAATATGGAGCAGAAACATTAAAATAAAATTGTAATGCGCTCAGCTTTCCGATGCTTTGAATGATAAACATACAGTAAATGCCACAAAGTTTTCTGCTTAGTTCATACAGGAAGAGAAAACTTCTGTAAGATTAATACCCAGCTTCTTAAAGTCTGATTTTTATCATATTCGAGCTTTTGACGTGTCTCATTCAAAGCTACATATTTCATTATATACTCAACCACCATTATAAGCTCTTGTAATTTGTCCAGCCTATCAAGAAATTGGTTATTACTTGGGTTTCTGAGTAGACATTGTGAACTGAGTTTAATATCTTATTTAAAGATGACTTATTTTTCGTATCTCTACCATAGTTTTTTAGAGGAATGGGCTTTAAAATATTAAATGAATGCAATGACTTTTGTTATGTGTGAGCAAAAGTTATATTTTAAGTGTTTTTGAGACGTCTACATTAGTTATTTCTGGGACGTATACCGGATTTCCACGTGATTCCATGGATTCCCATGGGATTCCAGGGATTCCCGGGATTCCCATGGGATTCCAGGGATTCCAGGGATTCACATGGGATTCCAGAGATTCCCGGGATTCCCATGGGATCCGGATTCCCGGGAATCCGCCGTTTCACCCTTGCAATACATTCTATTGGTAACAATATAACTAAGGAAACATACATCCTAAACTAATACAAAGGAATCTGATTGACCGTACCATTTCCTATAAATACCTTCTTTTGGCAAGTGCCACATACTGGAGACAGCTAATGTGCTGAAGTCCCAATTTCAGAAGATGGCATTAGCACAGACGATGTTACCGACATTTTCAGATTCTTTCGAGATATGGCACATGTTGCAATTTAGTTCACTTTTCCTATCAGTCCACTACTCAGACACTTTACCTTTACTCTGAGCATAAAAATCCTCATTTTGCAATTAATTCTGTGTTCAGTCAAGAAAATCATTTCTTATAAACGAACAATCGGTATGAAAAAAGTTTCGTATATCCCTACTCAGCTGTAAACCCAACTATAAGTTCATATGTCAAATGTGACTTGAAATTCTGAATCCTGGATATCAATAACCAACAGTCAGTTTCATCAAAACACAGGAAACGGTATAGTAAAAAAACTTCCCAATTTTGATTTTTGTTTTTGATCCTCACACACATACTTATAGCCTATAGCAAAGTTGCATCAAAACTTCGAAAAACGTTATAATAAAAAAGCTCGTTTTTGATTCGCCCGTTCCCGGCCAATGAAAAGCCGGCCAAAAAAATCCGACTTCAGATTCGGAATCCTGGCCATCGATAACCTATAGCAAAGTTGCATCAGAAGTTCAAAAAACCCACAACTAAGCGAACCCCATAAAGATGTTTTTTGACCTGCCACAAACAGACAGACGAACAAACGCATTTTATTTCATATGATCCTCCCTACAGTCGAGGAAAAAACAAAGAATTGTAACAATTGGGAATATCAGCATTCAGGCAATATGTTTGCAATGGATCGATTCAATACCCGCATGACTACTGGCGTCTATTTAAAAAAAGCTATTCGATCAACAAAAGAGACCACAGAAATGTAGGAAAATATAAATTATTGCATTATTTATTAATGTGTTCATGAAAAAAATTACTTATTCTAGATGCTTTTTATCAAGAAAAAATTTACTGCATCATGTAAAAAATATCTTCTTTATTATTTGAGCGGGTAAATCTTTTTTATAACTAGGAGCTATAAGTGTACAAAATTTAGAATATTATTCACTTAACTGCAAGCTTTTATATGCCCAACTTTGAGCATTTTTGGTTTTCTGATAAACAGAGAAAACGAAATATTTGTATGAAGTACCAAAAATTTTGACTCACTCTTTAGTTTTATCAACTTGATATCCTACCGACTGTCATGAGTTCTATAAAACTTTAACGTCTTCAATATTTTCAAACAAATAGCTGTGAATTAAGAACGACTTCTGAGAGTTTGACCGCTTTGTCATTATTTCAACAAAGGATTATTTTTTATCTTTACTGCAGCTATTATAATGAATATGCCACGATCGGCAGAGGCCAAGCAACAAATGATTAAAGAATGTAAGAAGTACTATTGGGATAGGCCCCGGCAAATGCTTGAAGTCACCGAATTTCAACGAGTTTATACACAAGAAACAGCGATCAGTTGGTATACCAAACCTTGTTTCATCCATCGTCTTGTCAATGAGGCTCTGCGTACCGAAAATATTGCGAGTTTGTGGATATTTCGATACTTCATCGGTGATCTTTGCACGAGTTTAAGAAATGCGCGAATGAAAATTACTGAGCCTTTGGTTCTCTACCGCGGTACCAAAATAGCTCATTCGGAAATTGTACAATTACGAGTGGGTAGTCTCATTTCTACAAACGGGTTTTTCTCAACATCGCGTCATCGTGACATTGCAGAATTATTCATCACAAGAATGGAATCAATGAATGATCATGATCATGATCATTATGTAATGTTTGAAATTGTTATTCAACCACACTCATTCGATGTGATAATAGCCGATGTTGCTAATCAAAGTGCAATACCTGATGAAGCTGAAGTACTTTTCGACCTAGGTACTGTTTTTGAGATTCTTAGTTATGAGAAAGAAGATAAACATCCAGTTTGGCACATACGGATACGTCCATCAAGCGAAATTCAAGATGTTAGACAGGATTTTGAACGTTTCATTCTTACCCAGATGGAATACACGAGTCCTTTAATACTTTTCGGTATGCTTTTCTCCGATATGAGCGAATATAAAAAAAGTTTAACGTATTTTCGGGATCTTCTTCGCACTCAAAACCTAGGAAGAAATGATCTAGCGAATGTCTATTGTGGTCTCGCCAGAACATATCGGTTCATGGGTCGACATAAAGCAGCTCTGGCTCTCATGAGACAAGCAGAGAGACTTCAGCGCCAAATGCTCCCACGGAACAATTTCGACTATGCACGAACATTAGCGAGTCTAGCAACCGTCTACGCCGTCATGGATGAATATCAACATGAACTATTTTATTATAAAAAAGCTTATGCTTTATATCGAAATATTCTACCTACGCAGAAACACATCGAAATCGCTAGAAGCCTGAGTCGCTTAGGTCTTGCCTTTCTTCATCAACATCAGTACACTCGCGCTCTTTCAGTACTTAGTCGATCTTTAAAAGTTCATGAACAAACGATGCCTGAAAAAAATCCATACAAAGCTGATGCAGTCGAACTCGTTGGCATAGCGCATGATTATCTCGGCAATGTAGAAATCACGTTCAGTTACATTGAAAAAGCAGTTGCGATGAGGCATACATGTTTAAATCAGGATCATGAAAGAATGGAACATAGTTACTTTATACTTTCACACTTATACGAAAAACACTGTAAGTATCAGTTGGCTCTTAAGTATGCTTATCAACTTTTGGAACTACGAGAAAGAACATTGTCGGTAAATCATCCATCACTTCAAGAGACGCGTGATTTAGTTGAAAAGTTGTGCATCTTAACCAACGGTCAATAAAGAAGATTCTCCGACCATTCACCATTCATTTTCATCTTTTTAACAACTTTTTTACGATTGTAAAATAAACAACAACAAAAAAGTGATTTGTGCATGTTAGTGCTGTAATTATCCGTACTTTACGACTTCCATTCATATACATACATAACGACTATATCAAGTACTAATACAGAGAGGATGTTGGTATAGACATGGATACGATTGCCGTTTTATGAGTGTGTGCCACTTATTATGGGTGCCACAATTTTTTGTCAAAATAGGCTGAGCCCACCGAGAGCGTTTAAGAGTGTGGAATTGGTGTGGACTAAAACAAAAGTCACAGCCACGCCTAATCTCAAGCTCAAATGATTAGTCAGAAACTTTTTACTTTAAATCAATATGAATCAATGATATTGGTGCATTACTGAATGAAAAATTGAGTGCAATACTTCAAGGTTCGACTTTGAAGTGGTCAATATGCAACTTCGCTAGATCCCTTTGTGCCAAGAAGTACATCATTCTGGCATGAGATCGTACTAAGCGATAGACGTCCCTTCCTATGACATACGGTTAAGGAACATATATAATAGATATAATAGGATAATCGAATTGGTAACATTTCAGGAACGTCCTTCCACATGACACAGATCGTTAATTCATTGTTCTGAGATAATTGAGTTTACGTGTAATCACGAACGTTCCTCCACATGTCAACCCTTAAGGGTGTGAGTGTGGGTCTGGTAGGGTACACGTATGATCCCATCATAGATACACCCACATCCACACCCACACCCACACCTCAAGATTTGTAAAATGAATCCGTCCGTCAAAGGCTTAGAAATAGCTAAAGAGTATGTCAACTTTCAAAGAAAAGAAATGAATGATGGAAATTTGGATATTTTTGTTTTATTCGGTAATCTACTTTATGATATGGGAGAATATGTTAAATGCCGTTATTATTTTGAAAATTTATTATGTGTTCAACGTGATAAAGATTCTTCTGCTACTATTGATATTTATCGACGATTAGGACGAGCCTTTCTTGGACTAAGTGAATTTGAATTATCACAGAAGTATTTACAACACGCCTATGATTTATGCATAAAAAATGAATCAACTTCTTCTAGCAAACTTGGCAGAATATTGAGCTATATAGGTCAGACGTATGATTTTCAAGGAAAGTTTAATACTGCTTTAGAGTATTATTTCAAAGGATTGCAAATAATTGAAAGAAATCTTAAGAACAAGCGACTCATCGCTAATACACTAACTAGAATGGGTGTAGTATATTACAGCAAAGGACAAGATGATTTAGCTTTAAAATATTTAAAAAAATCAAAGAAATACATTGAAAATTCGGTACCGGAAGACCATCCAGACATGACTGAATTTTATAATAATATGTACATGGTTCAATATTACAAAGGATGTTATGATCAAGCATTATGCTACCAAAGAAAGTCGTATGAAAGTGATAAAAGAATTTTTCCTGTTGATAATCATATCGATCTTAGCGTGGACACCAATAATATCGGTAAATGTTATTATAAAAAATGCCAATACATGCAACCTATAGAATATTTTAAACAAAGTTTAGATATAGCCAGAAAAGTCTTGAAGGGTGATAATAATTATATAGACATGGGTATGAGAATAAATAATATTGGAAAATGTTTTTATCGACAAAAAAATGATTTTGAAGCCTTGCAAAATTATGAAATCGTATTAAAACTAATACAGCAGACTAATTAAAATGATCATGTTGACAAGGCATATACACTAAAAAATATTGGTGAAGTTCATTTGGATTTATTAAATTGTGATTTGTCATTAAACTATTTCACTCAAGCACTTGATTTGTATAAGAAGACATTTAATGATTTAGAACATCGTGATGTGGCAAAGTGTTTACATCTAATTGGTCAAGTTTACTATTATAAAAATAATGATGATGATGATAATGATATATGTCAAGATTGTTATGATAAAGCATTAACTATATGGGAAAATGTTTTACCTTGCTACCATCCAGATTTGGCGTTGTGTTATAAAAATATGGCTCTATTTTATTTACACAGAAAATCAGATTACATTGAAGCAGAAAAATATTTTTCAATATCATATCATATATATGAGCAAGCATTAACCAAAGATCATCCTCATTCAATTGAAATGTATAATATAAGACAAATGATTTCAAAATCTAAACGACAGGCAACGCTGTTTATGATCATTGATACTGTGGAATTGATTTTATTTTTGTTTTTATTTTCGGTCGTCTTCTGGTTTTAGTGCTGTTTTTTTCGTATTTCTAATAGATAGTATTAAACCGGTCAGAATCAGTTTTTATCGCATTCACCTACACGATCAAGAGCAGCCGATTTTGAGTAGTTCTCAATAATTTCAAGTTCTTTGGGGTGTTGGTCTGGGTCTGAAAATAAGGCCGATGCTTACACCCACACCCACACCCAAAAATTCTTCCATTCTTCGATATGCTAAATTATAGAAATAAGGAGATTATTAATGAAGACTTATTTCATCAGTTTACAACTTAGATTTTCATAGTTATTTATTAATTATCGTTCTTTTTCTTATTTCTATTATTTTAAAAATTTAATTAACAAGATATTTATTAATCATTAATACACAACATAGATCTATCTAGATTTATTTACAACGACACAGTTCTATCATTATACTCTATAAAAATTGACGCAATTTGCAGTTTTGATGGCCAATGTATTTGTACCAAATAAAACAGCATTGTTAACTGATGTTTGATATGAATGCTTTTTCTTTATTTTTCCATCTTTACTCACATGTAAAAGATGTGAAGTCCTATGATCGATTACAAGCCATTCATCATATTTGAGTAAACAAATACGATTTATCCATTTTTCAAAAAAAAATGCTGTATAAAATTTGGTTGACCAAAGTTGGTCGAATGTTAATGAAGATCGAAGTTCTATGCGCATTGTTTCATTGAATTTGTGTTCTATTATTAAGGCAAGCGTTTCATTGTTGTAAGCAATATTATGGATAAGTTCGTCGTAGTTACAACTTTGAGGAGGTTTCCATTGTTTCATAAAACTAAATGACGATAAAAGATTGAATTGAAAAATACTAGAACCCGATTCATTCGTAGTTAAAAATAAAGTTGAATTTGAACATGCACAAGACAACCACTGTTTCTTCTCGATCGATTGAATACATTCAATTGTTGTTAGATTTCCATTCATCAGAAAAACTCCATTTTTATTTGTTATGATAATAAAACTATTTAATATCGATGACCAACACATATCAGAAATGCGATCATGTTCCCATGGATATTCTTTTAAAAGAGTCATTTGTTTATCATATAAACATAAATTTGGATATTGATCTATTAACAAAAAATGATTGTTGCTAGTAAGAGCAGGCCAACTATCGTTGGAACAAGCAAGGGTTCGATAAGGTGACGAAAGAGTTGATATATCAAGTTCATTCGATGTCCATTGTTCAACATAAATTAAATCTTGATTAATAATTAAGGGATGAACATCGACTACAATGCCATTCTCTTCATATTGATTAACGTCACGTTTGATATCATTAATAGTTGCTTTCAGCGACTTAATATCGTCAATCGTAACTTCTTGTTCTCGAACAAGTTCATTGATTTTTAATTTTAATTTATGAATTTTTTTTCGTTTTTCACCAACTTTTTCAAGACAACGTTGTTGAAGTTCTTGATATTTTTCTTCATAAAAACGATCAATAATAGTATAACAATCATGACGCCATTTATCCAATTTTTGACAACATTTGCTAATAACTTCATCAACATTTAATGCCGACAATTGATTATCAATAGTATTTATGTCGTCAACAAGAGGATGTATTTGTGAATTTATTAAATCATCATGTTCTTTCAAATGATCTGGACAAAGATTCTTGTTGCAACAATGACATAATGCTCGTGATTTACGTTTGCAGATTTCGATAGCGCATGGTAGAGGCATTATTTTATCTAAATAATGATTTTGTTTTGTCAGTAGTTGTGAGTATATATATAATGTTAAAAGGAAGCAAACAATGAATGCAAACGTTCAGCATGCCTAGTCAGATATGCACACTAACGGACAGGTCAAGTATCAAATATCATGTCTATTCATCATGATTGATCGTCATTATGAATAATCTCTTTCAATTATGTTTCGACTAATTGAAAACATGGATACATTCATTATTTCTCCATTCATTCAATCAATTCATTCTGTCGCCAACCAATATGATTTTAGTTAGTCCAAAGCCATAGTTGGGCAAATCACTTTCTCAAGTCATTGGGAAAATCTATTGTATCTATTTTGCACATAAATAATATGACTTCAAATTAAATGTGGTCCAATTCAGAAATTTTTCACTATTAAAATTACATATTTGATTTAAGTGTGAACTGTTTTACTCATCTATGACGAAAACTTGTTCAACGGCGACAAGCGCTAGTTCAGGACATGATGTGCTCTGGTCATAACTAGTTCACTTTTTGAGAAATTAGTGTTAATTTTGGACTAGATGAATCTGAAATATTTAAAAAGATCATCTTGTCTCGACTTTATTCTCCGAATAAATCGTTCAGATTGATCAAAAGAAGCAGAACTTTTCAGCATCCACATCATCTTATACAACAACCGAGCAGAAAATGGGCCGCTTAAGAATACGAGTGCGATAGCTGCATAACAATTAAGAATCAGCGCGTATTAAGTAGATAAATTAAAATAAACACTACACAAATTGTACGAATCTGTGAGATATACATTTGTTGAAGATTGATAATCCACAGCGTATAGTATCATGGAAAAACGAGTTTTTCTCGTCATAATTGACAGCTAAATATGAATGTGGGTGATGTGCTTTGATTACAGCCATCCACACCATTAATTTCAGTAAAAGTGTCACAATCATGACCATAATGCGAAGTCGAATGGTATTCGTTAGTTGAATAAATTTCTTCGTAGGTAGTATTCACAATTGTAATTGACTTTGAGCTCTATTTCTTTCATTGAACAATTAACTATTATTATTCATCACGAGTCTTTTGTTGATTATTCTGAAGATTTCATTTATTTTTATATTTCTCTCCGAACTTTTCGTACTTAATTGTAGCTCTTCAAAGGAATCAAATAATAGATATTGGGAGTGCGGGTGGGCATCAACCCTCTTTATATTGGCACCCACACCCACACCCTCGAAGCAGTTAGTTCTACTTAAAAATAAGGGAAGGATCGTTATTGAATACCCTAATATCAGTGAGCATGTATCAGTAGTCAACGTTTCATTTTCTACTCAAAGAACATCAACAAAAGTTTCACTTTTAATTTACAGGTCAATCCACTGAAATTTCTTTAATATTGTATGCTATGTACTTCGAAAGCAGTATCAATGTTTACAAAATTTCTGAAAAAAGCGGTAGGCATTCAATTTATTTACGATATATTACGCGGATAACATCCAGTTTCTATTAAAAAAACTAATTGAAATCAGAAGTAATATTTGAGAAAGTTCATGCATAGGTGTTGTAGATATATTTTCATCGAATTCTGACTAATATCAAACTAAATATATTCATTTTAACAAACCAGCCACGTTTTCAAATAGAATTTATTATATATTCAATATTCGAACTCGATTAAAGTATATTTGACAATTAAGCTGAGGGTATAGGAAATTCCTTTGACGATCGAGATAATTTACTTTCAACAGTTTTTTATACATAGATAAAGTTATAACTTACACGAGACACTTGAAACAAGCTGATTCTTTTTTTTTGTAATAAATATTTACACGAAGTCATTTCAGATCAACATTACCCAACGTATTTTAATTGTTTTTTCAATAATTCGACTGATTGTCTTACACGAGAAATGACAAGAACGACAGAATCAAACTTATGTTCAGCCTATAATAAACCTTCTGGTAAATACTTTTGTCCAAAAGATTTCAAAGAACATGAACAACAATTGTCGATAAAATTTAACAATGAAGTTGTTAGATCTCATGATGAACTTCTTGATCAAATTCAGAAAATAGAAAAACCAAATCAGTTCTCATTAGATCTTTTCGCTCAAATTGAACAATGGCGAAGAACAACAATTGAAAACGTAGAAAAAGTAGCCGAAAGAAATTCGAACTCGTCGAGAAGAAGAAAATTTCGTTGAAAATGATATTGATCGACTTCTAATAAAAATCAACGAAGTCCAACAAGTAGTTGAACGATTTAGTCGAAAAGATACAAATAAAAGCATTATTGTTTCGAATAAAGTAATCGATTGGAATCAAATGATTTACATCCAAGAAATCCAACAAGTGTAGAGATACTGTGAGCGTACCGAACTTAAAGAAATACAGCAGGAATAGGTCGATTCACCTTTTTGTAACTATGTCACTGAGAGTAACATATTCATTCAGAAGAAACATTGAAGTATTTGACGCTCCGAATACCAAAACTGTGGCATTATTATTGAGAAATGTTTTTGACGCAGCGATTTAGATTACTCTTGCTGTGTCAATCAATGTTTCTCACTTAGAATATAAGTTTTCAGTAACGTACATTGATCCAATGTTAAGCAAGAAAGTTGTGTTTTCTTTCAGCATCATTTTTACGCAATCCATCTCTAAGTGAGAATACAAAATGGTGTCACTGTGGCTGAGGGAAATGGACGAGGAAATCGTTCTGATCAGTTGTATTGTCCAGCAGGTGTGATTATTGACAACGAAAAAGATAGTCTTATTATTTGTGATTATGTTAATGACAGAGTTGTTCGATGGTCTCCGCAAAACGGTGAAAGTGGAGAAACGATCATTTCAAATGTTCGATGCTGGGGATTGACTATGGATGATGAGAGAAATCTTTATATAGTTGATTTTCGCGCTCATGATGTTAGACGGTATCGAATGGGAGAAAATCAAGGAACAGTCGTTGCAGGTGGAAACGGTCAGGGAAATCGTCTTGATCAATTGAATAATCCTAGACGTAATATTCGTCGATCGAGATCAGTCAGTATACGTATCAGTAATGCGTTGGTCTCAAGGAGCTCAGCAGAGAAACATTATCATTGATGGAAATGGCCAAGGAAGTCAATCGAATCAGGTCTATTCTCCAATTGGCTTAACTTTTGATAGAGAAGGAAATATCTACGTGTTTGATAATGGAAATCATCGAGTTCAGTATTTCAACATTGACCGTCATTAATGATTGTTGAAAATTGACTTTCCCGGAACGCTGTGATTTTCCCCTTTCAAGCAAATAATCGAAGAATAAAGTGGTTTCTAATCAAATTAATCTTCGATATGTAACTAGAAAAAAGTTACGGTTCTGACTCGACCAAAAGTAATTTCAGTCGAACCCATGGCCAAGATTGAGATTTCTCTTACTTAGTCTCGCACAATGTCTTTTGATAAACCTGCATCAGATCTAGGAATTGATCCTTATACCTTAACTAGCGATGGAATCATATTAATTTTAATCGCGTTCGCACTTTCTTGCCTTTTGTGAAGCACGATTTTAAAGTAATATTGAAGTATATAGAATAGAAACTTGCACTTTCCTTTAGGCTCTGGCAGAATCTGTTGAGAATATACATCAGTCGCTTCATTACTACCGAGCGATACGATTAAATGCATGCTGAATGAATGGGTTCTGAGGTACACCCATGTGTCACATTTTAATCCTGTAGGAATATGCGCTCACATGTTTTTCATCAAAATTGACGATTCGGAGAAGATTGACTCTAAAACATCAATCTTATATCCTCAAACATACACAGAAACATATAAAACAAAATTTGCTTGACATTCATGTAATTTGAAAGTATATGTTTTCGATTTTTCTGCAAGAAATCTTTTGGAGTTGAAATATATTGATTAAATTGTTCTCGAAACACATAATTAGAACTTACTGTTCTTTATGTTCAAATTGTGGTATAAAAAGGTGCAAAAGTTAAAAGAAAATCGACTTTATAAGAATGAGAAATGGTGTTTAAGTGAAGATTCGTTAACAAACTTAACTGTCACACTCATGATTTAAATGATTATGTTTATTATATATGTAAATGAGTGTTTACAATGAGAACAAAAACAAAAGCAACATGCATACATTGGTTTAAGACATCAAATACGTGATTTCATATATTCTAAAACATCGAAAAAACAGTCATCATTTTTCGTTTTCCACATATTCGTACCACTTTGAAATGGTGTCCGATTTGGTAGACGTAGTTTATCCTGAAATAATTGAAAAAAAATACTTGCATCTTGCTCACGGATTCTAGCAGTGCACTGCATGTTGCCCATTTCATCAACATTGTAGGTAACGCGTAGGAGACGAAATTTAGTCAATGGTGCATAGATTACTTCTTCTTCTTCGGGATACTCTGAGAAAGTAGAAATATCGGCATTAGTTTGTATTCGACATTCACTTTGTTGTTGTTCGGTCAATGTCTCAATTTCAAACAAAAGATTTCCACAAACCATAGCACGTGCAGGATTTTTTGATGTCGAAGTGAAACAAACAAAATAAATTTGTTCACCGACACGGTCCATCAGTGACAGCATGTTCTCTTCTGTTGTATGAATTCCACGATAGAGCATACCACACAAATACGGTAATGATTTATCAAAAACCATTTCAAAATAATCATATAAAATGAAACGTAGAAGATGTGCATCTTCAACATAACATTCAGAGAGTGCTTGATTGACATGTCTATAGAACGGCGGTGATTCAAGTGACCATAATCGAAAAAAATATTTGATCAATGTTCGAGATCGAATGCAACAACCAGGAGAAAAATAACGACAGATCGATGCAATTTGTTCTGTTGATAAACCATGCCGTCTGCAAAACATAACAGCTGCTGCTATTTGTGCATCGTTTTTTGGCAGATTAATTTGTTTGGCGAAACGAAGATGTTGAAAAAGTTTTGGTCTAGATATACTATTACCTGACATATAACCACAAGAAAAACAATTTGAGCAATGGTCATGCCTAAAGTATGTGGTAATGTACAAAATCGTTGCAGCAAGAAGCAATCATTGGATAAAATTAGGCATCGCTCGGCAACTTCGGGCATTTGCGTCCAACATTTTTTTATTACATTGCAAATAAGCCAAGTATTTTTCGTATAGTTCATCATTATGATGAATGTCAAATACAAAAACACACATTCCCTCATTTTGCTTCGTGGAGTATAGTGGCATTTTTCTTTTTGATATCGTTACATTCCTTGTGCATCTGCCTCTATACGTTGATAAGAGAGTAAGGATGGCAGAGGTAACTAATAATGGTCTTAATAATGATCATCTTTCCGGAAACGAATATGAGATACTGGAACAAGGTTCTATGCCGAATGTTCAAGTTGAACGTATATCAAGGTTTTTATTGGAGTGTCCGGAAGCGGCTTTAAATGTACACAAGTACCTGTAAGAAAATTATTCCAAGACAAATCAGCAACTACAACTCGTGCAACCAGTGAATTCAACACCTAAACGGGGTATCCACTCGATGAAAGTGGTAGCTCGATCAATGGTAGGGGCCGTCGAAAACATCCTCGAAGAGGTATTGACAACAATGCTCAAAAGAACTCGTATAACGTAGAACAAGAAACTAATTTGCAGTCACAACAACCATCGTCTCCAAGATCATCGAATCAAAGACAAAATCAAGAAATAAATCAAGCTGCTATAAATCGTAAACGAATCTCTTTTAATCAGCTGAAGCATGCGGTATCATCTAATCTACCATGTTTTTTCATTGAATTCAAATCTGATGCGGATCGTAATAGTATTCCAACAGCTCTTCATGCTAGTGATCTTATACTTAAAGAACTTCGATCGAAGGAGGTTTTAATCAACAGATTTACATTAGTAGGATGGTCAGGAAAAAAACTAAAGTTAGGCGTTAATAATAAAGAAGATTACGCCATTCTAGTTGGTTCGGATAAATGGCCGACAAAGATAAATGGAATTGATATTGTCGTCGAGAAACCAAAATATATACTTGATTCATTTGCTCTCGTCGTTCGGTATGTCCCTAGAGAACTAGATGAAAATTTTGTTTCAAGTGAAATACAACGAATAATTGCCTCAGCTGGTAGAATTCAACGTATTCATTATCCCTATCAAAGAAGAACAGATGATTATCGGTTCGATGTAAAAGATTATAGTGAATATAATGCTGTGTTGCAATTAGGTCGAATTGCAATAGGTCATTCATGGTTATCGATCACCAAGTTTTATCCTGGTAACCGCTTAACATACTGTACAAATTGCTGGCGTATAGGTCATTTAAGAAACAAATGTAATATAGAAAGCAAATATCGAATTTGTCTTGAGCATCTGAGTGTCGATTCACCGCGCATGTGTAAAAATGAACCAAACTGTGCTCAATGTGATGGAAATCATCACTCATTAGATAGTCAATGTCAAGTTTTAAAAGAATATAAATACCAATTACAAGAAGATGTTGAAGATGCGATACAAAAAGGATTGTTACAGCGATTCCATCCCCAAGAAAAATCGCCTACATTCGAACTTAGTGATCAAGATTTTCCACCATTAGCAGCAAATGATAATCATTCTAATACAAAATGGAATGTTGCTCAACCACGTACAACCGCCGAGTCGAATTTATTACGCTCATCAGATACAGATAAAACAATTGAATCCATCAATGATAATTTGACGAAGATTATCGATAGTAACAAACGGCTAGAAAATAAAGTTGATCTGTTATCATCAAGCATGAAAATCGTTACGCTCGACACCCAGCTACATCAAGCAATCTTAGCAAATACCATCAACATTATGAAAGACTTTATTCAATATTTTATGTCAGCATCTTTAACTACTGGCAAAATTGAAAGATTATCGTTGGTACCCGTTGCACACGGATACTATAATCGCCTTCATGTTACGTCTTCAAGATTGATAAATGGCTTTCAATTAAATCAACAAGTTCAGCAGATTCCAAAGTTACATAATCGTAGCAGTATTCAATCTGGTCAGCAGTCCGTATCAGTATATAAATCAACACAGAATGCTAAGTAGAACATCAAACCTTAATGTACACGCTAATGCTTTCTTTCCTGCTTCAGAAAATTATTTATTTAATCCTAGAGATGAAGCTATGCATCGACTGAAAACTTGGAATTTTCCAACTAAAGATCAGAAATTAGTATTATCTCTGCTAGATGAATGGTACATAGGTAGAACCTTGAATACAGTCTTAGAAGAATGGGAAAAGGTTGGAATAGCCTCCTTACGAAACCAAAAAGAATATATAAAGATTTTATGCTATAATGTCGAAGGATGGGGCACTCGTGCAGTTGAAGCTATTGACTTAGTGTATAAAGTTCACGCTTCTATTTGTATATTTACAGAAGTAGGAGAGTTATGGAACACATGTCGATTACCACATTTTAACATGTTCTATCAAAAGGGTACTAACAAGAATGGAGGAGTATGTATAGCAGTAGGGAAGCATCTGAAAGCGACGCGCATCGAAGTTAACATTCCGAACACGGTTATTATTGGCGTAACAGGACTATCAGAACCAGTACGTATCATTGGTATTTACTGGTCCACTAGCGAACAACGTGATCTAGATGATATTCAGCAGTATGTAATAGAAGGTACCATACTATCAGGTGACTTTAATGCAACAGTGAAGGAATTGAATAGTCCAATAACAGATAGGAGAGGTGCGCACATGAGAGAATGGATTAATGAAAATAATCTCAATTATATTACATCAACGACCAACACGTCTAAGCGCTCCCTACGTAATATAGATTTGTCGTTCTCTAATATGAGTACTATTTCAAGTGAAACATTATGTTTTGATACTAGTGATCATTGGCCGATTTTGTTATCATGCGAGAACATTTTTTTCTATACAAACAGTTTTTTTTCCTCATACAAATTGGAAGGTATTTGAAGCAGTATTAGCGCTATTACAAATATTCTGGATGGAAGAACAAAAGAAAAATAGTGCAGATGAGTGGTATAAGCAATATATTCGTTTCATCGCGGCTGTCAAAAACAGAGTGACTCATTGGAAAGAGAGAGATAATTATAAACCATCGTTACCGACTTATATCATCGAAAAATTAAAAGAAATACGAAAAGTGAGAAATAGATATTATCATTTAAGACATAAAGGAGTTTTTAGTGAAGAAACAAGGGTGCTTTTACGCACAATGACAAGAGAATCAAAAGTTGATATTGCAAATCATAAAAATGCTCAATGGCAAATTTTTTTATCTAACATTCAAACGTCGTACGAAAAATCAGATAAAGCGCTTTAGACTAGGGGTGGCACTTTACGTTAATTTAATATTAAGTGTTAAGTAAAACCACTTAATTGACTCTCTTAATTAACTCAAATTAAAATCAACGGTCCACCTCTACTTTAGACACACTTATCGCGTATATACAAATCACGATCGCTACCTTTCTATAAACTATCGGATGGCAGTAAAATAATAACAACACAAGAAGGAATCACTAACGAATTATTCCACTACTACAGTGAACAGTTCAAAGTACCTGTATTGGATTGCTCTAATGGACATGACGATCAGATAGATAGGATGTATAAAGAGTTGTTAAATAGATTATCAGTGTCAAATTATAACGTAGAAAAAACTAGTACTGCTGAAATTGCCACTCATGTATCCATTTTTTTGATTTTCGACGCGTCCCAAGCGTTTATAAGAAATGTAGGTTCACGCGTCTGGATGCGTCCAAAATGCAACATTTTAGGGGGTTCAAACGCGTAATTATTTTGAAACGCTGATACACGCGTTTTTAAAAGTAAACTTGAACAGACGCGTTCAATTTTTTTGCCGCGTTTGAATGCGTCTAAAATGCAACATTTTGGGGTGTCAGAACGCGTTTCAAGAAAGAAATGCAGCCTGACACTGTTTTTTATTAGACTCGTCTAGATGCGTTTGAAGATATTGAAAAAATTTTTAATTAAAAAAATTCCGCTCTATTATGCTGTCGATATCTATTCATTTCTTCATTTCTATCGTCACATGATACTTTCTCTTCGATTAAACACAACTTTAAATTATTCAACTGAGTGCAGCAGACTAGATTCGACCACAGTACCTATAGAATGTAAGACATTGTCCTTGCCACAAAGCTATACATACTTGTTCATTCATATCTTACATTGTCATATGACACTGTAGAGGGATAAAAACAACTACCGAACAATCATTTCACAAAGTCAAATGACTTTAAAAAATTTTTCATCTTTTTCATTTATCAATAGCAACTAAAATTGCAATCATGATATTAGTTATATGTGATTAAATTTTTTTTAATAATAATTTTGTTTTCGAATGATTAAATAAGAGAAAAACAGTTATTTCGATAATGAATCGGTTAATAAAAGTATACGGAATGCGGCATCTTATAGTGTTTTTTTATTCCATATACTAGAAATATTTTTAATTATCATTTTAAATTCAAACTAAGTTAAGTGTTTATTTTTCTGCTATTTCGACTTAGAGTTTTAATTATTTTGGCATACAGACGAACTTTTATAGAATTTAATTTTTAAAGAAATCAATGCGAGTTGAAGAAAATAAATTTGAAACGTTGTTTTTTAGTAAGATTTTTATAATTTTTACTTCGCCTCTCAAACTTGATTATTTCTTACTAATTTAACAACTTTTATATCCGAAACGTGACAAAATTCAGAACATATATTTGATTTTAACGGATACACAAACATTAAACTTATGATAAATGCGTTCATAAGCAACCAGGTTAAAATATTTGTTCTACATGGACACATTCAAACGCACTGCTAGCAATACTGTCTGTATGCACATTTTGAGTTCGGATCTCGCTTAGATATTAATTAAACTTATTTTTTTTACTGCGTTTAGAGGCAGTCTCATTTTGAGTTTTGTTTGAAGGAAACTATTATTGCATTTAAGCTGTATCTAGAGCCTTTCTTTACTTCTATTTTCTATATCATTGTATCTAAAACAGATTTAAATGGAACATTAGACTTTAAAATTTATGTTTAAGTGAACGCAGACATTTTAACTTAACATTTTATCATATCGATTTACGAAACAAATAGATAAGCCGAACGTGTGTGCCATACAGGAACAAATGTTATTTCATGAAACAAAGAGTGGCGACATTAAAAAGCATCTTACCTTTTTGAATTAGTAGTGGTTAGTTTAGTTCGCTATTCTAGATCTAATCACATATATTTTTAGAGGAAGCCTCAGCCATTGATGGCATCATATATGCTTGCAAGTAGAAATATATTCGAATGTATCTTATCCATACAAAAGAGAGAATCAAATGCATTTAGGCGCGCTACTAAAGCTCAAGAGAATCAGTAAACATATATATTTAAATGCGTTCGGATGCAGAAGCGAAACTAGTTACGTTGACACCAGTTCAACTGAATATTGTTTCTAGTAACCGACGTATTCTGACGCAAAGACGAAACTTTTCGCCTGGAAACGCGTTTCATGACTAATACCGATCCACGTTTGTATGCATGTTAGTTAGAAGACGCGTTTGAAAGCCAGAATGGCTTGTAACGCGTTCAGACACTGATATAATGGACGCGTTTTGGACAACTTCAATTGTAGGCGCGTTTAAACGCGTCAAAATGGCACTGGTTGCAACATTAACGCGTCTACATGCGTCAAAAGTGCGTTTTTCGATTACATGGGCAGTATAATTAAAACCTTAAAGCCTAAGAAATCAGCAGGCTTTGACTCCGTGTCAAATTTTATAATTAAAAAACTTCCTCCAAGTTATATCGAGTGCTTAACTAACTACTTCAATACATGGTTAAATGAGTGTCGTTATCCAGATGACTGGAAAATTGCAAAAATCATTACTCTAAATAAGTTGAAACCGGGTATCCCAAAGTGTGAGCAAACTCGTCCAATTTCTCTGTTAGCTACACATTCAAAGCTGTTCGAAAAAGTGCTTTTACGAAGAATTAGACACTTGGCTGAAACAAATCGTTTAGTACCGTCAGAACAATCCGGTTTCCGCCCAAAATGTCTTCTACCAATTCGAGTACTTTCGATATATCAGGAAGTGAAAAACAACATGGCAGCTAATATTCCTACACTTGCCCTCTATGTCGATTACCAAAAGGCTTATCATCGTGTATGGCATGCTGCTCTTCTTTGTAAACTAGAAAAAATGGGTATGCTTCTAAACTTATTGAAAATGACTAGTAGTTGGTTAAAAGATAGAATAGCTTACGTAGAATATGGTGAAATAACTTCGAAAATATTTAATACAAATATAGGACTGCCGCAGGGTAGTAGTCTTAGTCCGTATTTATTTATAGTGCTTCACTCACATCTGACAAATTATCTAGGTGCTCACTCATGTCATCTATTTGCAGATGATCTGTGTGTATTAATTAAACCTCCAATAATGAAAAACTTAGGCCCGATGATTGACTACTTAGAAAAAGAAGGTACACGAGTTTGTAATCAAGTTTTTATGTAATTACTCAAAAAAGTGGAAGCAGCCGTTAAATGTTTCAAAAACTGTAGTACAACTATTCCATACACAAGTTAAAAGACCTATAGTAAACGTAACAATAGACGGAAATAAAATCGAGTTAGTCAAAGAATTCAAATACCTAGGATTTACGTGGACGGATAAACTTTCGTTGAAACCGACAGTCGATAAAACCATAGGAAATATTCAGAGATCACTAGGAAAACTGAAATGGATGAAGTCCGGTCGCAAAATTTCATGTAAAGCTCTTCGTCAATGTTTCTTCGCGTTCACTTTTCCGCATTTCGCGTGGCTATTCCCACTTTTCCCTCTCCTCCCAGAATCTCTACAGCACGTATTGGAACAAAAATTCCGTGTAGGACTTCGGCTGGTACATCGCTGTCCCTTCGTTTCGGCGCATAATATGTTTAAAGTCACTTCTGAACAGCCACTACAATTTTACGTTAAAAAATATATTCAACGTAGATTAAAAACTATGTTCACAACTGATCTTGGTTCTTCAGTCTTCTATGAAGATATATTTGGTTGGGATAATTTTTGGAAAAGGAAAAGCGATCACCTTGGTCATTTTTTTCGCACACATCGTGTGCAACAGTTGAAAGATCGACACGAATCGTTCCTTTTAAAGTGGTTGTACTTTGTTGATGCGAATTAATAGCACAGAAAGAGGCATAAATGTAATGCTTTACGCCGTTTTCTTCTTTTTTTCCTCTCTTCTTCGTTTTAGTCGTTCACTCTCGATTCTGTTCTGTTCTCATTCTTTCTTCTTTAATTTTCTTTTTCTTTCGTTCGTTTCTTTTAGCTTGGTCTTCTTTTTTCTAGATGTACGCTTTACTCACGCATCTGCGCTGCTGCTTATCATCAGTACTTCTCTATATCTTCTTTTTTACACTTTTTTATTCGAGTATTCATTTATCTACTCTCTAAATATCCCTACAAGCAAAAATTGGTACGCAGCATAATATATCGTTGGCACAAATTGTAACGCTTTGCTTTAATGATGTCGCTTTTCGCTTATACATATATATTCCTCTTTTTCTTATGTAAGCACTTGCGAGTGTTACATCCACGAGCATAATAAAAAAAATGATGATTAAATAATTAAGTTATACATATGCAAAAGAAAAGAGTATATTGTGACGGAACGACTCGCTCGTTCTTTCTTTATTCAACGAATGACCTAATTCATGCTTCGCGAATAGAAAAGCTGTTAGCGTAGTACTTGTGGGATTAAAATGTGAAACACGATGTAACCACTGTTACTAATAAACGGAAGTATTAACAAACCGATTCAAGTTGACGGTGTATGTGCTCGATATTCTGTTTGATTCGACAGGCAAAATTACAGCATTACTTCCTGATTACTTTTCACTTTGCCTATAAATTTCTAGCTTTCATTGATGTGGGGGCGAGGCGGGTGCAAATTTCTACCCCTATATACTTCAACACTTCTCTTTTAGATCGTGTTTCACAGAAAGATAAGACCAAAAGTAGATAAAAAATAGAAAAGAATAATCGACGTATATCCACACCTATGTATGTGCTTTTCTGTCACGAACATGAGAAGCGGTGACAGGTGAAATCCATCACATAGATCAAGGTCGATCCTAACGAAAAAAACGTGTTATCACTGGTGTAGTAATCGGATAGTTTTGAAGTTTCGAGTGAGTCGAACATAGAATCTATTTATTGTTCTCGTCTAAAGACATTCTCAATAAAATATGTAATGAATGCATATAATATATTATTCTTCAGTGGTTTCGCTTTTTTGTCTGTGTTTTAGATCGAAAATGTCAGACACACTCCACAGTGTAATTGAGTTCTTTTCCGTTGAACTATGGCAAGAAGTTTTTGATTATTTCAATTCAAATGACTTATGGTACTCATTTCGTGATTTAAATAAAAGAATTTATGCAATCATTGATCAGACAATGCTACATTTAAATTTTCAAAAGCAAGGCAATTATGATTATTGTATGAAAAATATTTTACCATCAATAAATGCTGCTAATATCCGATCATTAAAATTACAAAAATCCAATGAAATAAAACATTTTTTCTCTATCTATTCTCTTAATTCATTGATTCAACTTCGTTTACTATCATTAACTTTTATGAATTCTTTTAATGATAATTCATTTCAATTCTGGAATTAACTTTCATCTTTGAAATATCTACAATCATTGAAAATTATGTTTCGGGGCTATTCTGGGTGCGGTTACTGCATTGAAGAAAAGGAATATATTATTTGTTCGATATTTAATAAAGATTTTTGTCCCTTATTAAAATTTTTTATCATAGACGCTTGTAGTAGGAGAAGTTGGAAGTCCACAATTCCTTCGTTAATAACAACAACTAAAGTAACAAATATAGAATATGTGTCGATTGACTCGTTGGCTTTTATTGATTTGATTAAATTACTTCCTGCTTTACAAAATGTTAAATCCTTTCGCTCAGATTACGAGTTAAGTTATGATAATAAACAACAGCAAAACATGACAATTACAATGCCATTGCTGTCTAAGTGCATTCGACTGCACCTACACTTATCAGAAGATATGACATTTGAACACGTCGAATATTTATTAAAACATACACCAAATTTGCAGGATTTATTTTTGTGGAGTTGGTATCATTTACTTAGTGCAAAAAATGGGAATCGATACTATCAGTCCAATGTCCAAAATTGTTAAAACTTGCATTAATTTGTACTGGACCCATCGGAGATGATTATTTTCATCAAGCATCAGATAATTTTCAACAAGAGTGTGCAACGATCCCGTTTTGGGTTGAACGAAATGTTACAATTACAGATGATGAAGATTATTCGACTCATGATTATCGTTCTGATATTATAATTCGATTTAATATTTAAAACGTGAGTTTCATACAGAAGTTTCTTGTTTTGTAACGTAAAAATAGTAGTTTTAAATATGAATAATTCACTTATAGTGATAAGTTTGAAACTTTTTCTGCGCACAACTGTTAGGTAGTGGCGCTATCTGCGTCCACTACCTCCTTTCTCTCTCTCTCTCTTCTTCTTCTCTCTCTTCATTGGCCAGTGGACCACGAGTGATGTGTTCCAAAGTTAGTTAGTGTTGTGTTTGGATTGGAGATAGTACAATAAAGGTTTGGTTAGTCTACAGACTAACAATTGGTGCCGTGACCCGTATCGTGATACAATTTCGACCACAATTCGTCGAACACGATAAGATATTTTGTTTTCCCTTCGATTTAATTCGTTTTTCCTGGTCCTCGTCGTATTTGATATTTATGATATATCAAGATTAATTTTTAATCTTTATGTTCGTTATCCTCAACTTATTGTTCTCGTTGGTGTTTATGTTATAATTCTTGTTATTAAAAAGTATGACCGAACAGTACATGCAGATTTTTATTCAAGAACAAATTCGAAAACTTAAATCATTTGATGCTGCTCCTGGTGACGATGTTATTCAATGGTTATATGATACTGAAACTGTATTTGATAGCGTACAATTACGACCATCGAATAAATATATAGCAGTACAATCGTATTTAGTTGGTGCTGCTGCAAAATGGTTTCGCTTTAAGGCTCCCCCCCCACCCTAAAAAGTCAATTTTCGTCAAATTTTTTGAGTTTTTGATTTATAGCGTGTTTGATAGAGCAAAGTCTCCGCTATCGAACGCACTATAATTTATGTATTTTATGATGAGTTTTCATGGTGTAGCATCAATTTTTCTGAAACCCCCTACTCTAGAAAATAACATCGTTGCTAAAAAATATTGATCCTCAAAGTCGTTTGAGCCTCTCTGTTTATTTTTCAAAATGATCACTATGATTAACAGATATTTCTAAGTAAAATAGCTCGATACATATTGAGACTCGCGAATGTATATATACATATAACCGACAGACTAGAATGCAAGTACTGTCCTCGTAAGCAGGATCTTTGAGTGTCCTGTATCTTTGCTGGAGAGCATGGGTCCCAAATGAAAACTTATGGAATATGATATTGGACTTCTATGATGAGTTTCTATCGAAAAAAATTTTGAATCAAAGTTTGCAAAAAAAATTAGCATTTTTCTAAGCCCCACCAGAAAACTTTTCACGGTTTTAACGATATCTCATTTTCAAGAATGCCACCGAAAGCTACATCAAATTTCGTCGACAGATTTCAAATTTCATTTATAAATATTAATCCGTTCAGATCTTATAGCATTTTTAAGGTTCAGGCGATTTTGAAAAAATTTCGTCAGGAATTGAAAACCCCATAAAATCTGAACGGATTAATATTTTTAAATGAAATTTGAAATCTGTCGACGAAATTTGATGTAGCTTTCGGTGGCATTCTTGAAAATGAGATATCGTTAAAACCGTGAAAAGTTTTCTGGTGGGGCTTAGAAAAATGCTAATTTTTTTTGCAAACTTTGATTCAAAATTTTTTTCGATAGAAACTCATCATAGAAGTCCAATATCAATTTCCATAAGTTTTCATTTGGGACCCATGCTCTCCAGCAAAGATACAGGACACTCAAAGATCCTGGTGACGAGGCTAGAAAATACTAACCATTCATGTGTATGTAAGAGTTAGCATGTGGATGTGGACTGTGGGTATCTTACATCTCTGCATGCGTCCACTCAATTCCCTTTAATCATTGGTGCATGGGAAATCATCGAAAAAATTTATTTCACACTATGTTATCATAGAAAAAGTCTTAAATTGCAATCCAAAACTTCTTTTGCGTTTTTCTCAAAATAGAGTTTTTTTTAAACATTTTTGTATTTCCCAAATTTCTCCGCCATTTTAAACGCTAGAGGGTCGCGGTTGGTGTCAACATGAAGCAAATGATCGGCTCTAGAACTTAACAGAGCCAGAATCTTAGATTTTATGTCTAATATCTTATGGGACTCAAATCTTTTACAATGTATAGCATATTTTTGCATTATCGTATGAGATAATGTTCGATAAAAAAAAATTGGAGATGAAACGAAAAATCGGGCTCTGTTAAGTTCTAGAGCTAAGTTTTTGATAGATTTTAAAAGTAACCCGAACCTTCTAGCATTTGAAATGACTGAGAAATTTGGGAAACCCGGACACCCCCATTTTGACCCATGATCGTGAGGTAAATTTTGATAGACTCAATATTTCGAACTGAGATTTTTTCGTAAGTTACCAACCCCTAGATACACCTTCTCTGAAAAATTCAGCGAGATCGGACAATCAGAAGCAAAAATAGAAATTAGGGTGGGGGGGGGCTTAACAAGATGAATATTCCTGATTGGTCTTCATTTAAGATTGCTATTGCTCAAGCTTATCAACCATCATTTAATCGAACATTATCAGTAGGTGAACAACCATCAATAACCGTACAACATGTTAATTCCTCATCCGTATCACCAAAAACAACCCCAGATTCGTCCCCCACATCTCAAGATAATTTTTCAGCAGTTATTGATCTAAACGGATCAAATTTAAATGAATCTTTTCCACCATCCTCGAAAATTGAAAAATCTGCAACACCTGAACGAATAACAAATGATGATCAACAATTAACTATTGTCGTTTTGCCTGAACCCTCATCGCTTCATCAATTCGTAAGTGAAAATGTAACTGAAGATTCAGCCGTTGATAATATCCCAAATACTTCCTCCTCGATAATTACAAGTACTCAATCAACACGTTCATCCACAGTAGCAATTGATAATCCTATTACATGTGAAGATGAATTACAAGCACTACCTGACGATGAAGCTAGTTCATACTCGTCGAATGATTTTGGTGTAGTTCGTCATCAACTTAATTCTGTTATGGAATCAGTGAAAGTTAATACTCATGTTAATGATAGTAATGCTAATATTGGTGCATATGTCTTTAATGATTCTATTTGGTCAAAGGTATTAGAAGAATACCAGATCCCAAAGAATGATATTTACTTTACATTCTCGAGCAATCGTATTAACATTTCTAATCGCTGTATATGGCCGGGGAGGGGTGTGGGTGTGGCTATATGTGAACTGCACAGTCACACCCACATCCACTCTCTGTTGCTGTATCTTTCTGAATTATTCTCATTCAGTTATCTTATTTTTGTATTTAGGCAATTTTGCCTGTTTAGCAAAATTCTGCAAAATCTCAGAGATGTATGTGAAAGTTTCTTTGATCAATAATGGTTAGTTACTTGTAGTGATCACCCTCAAAAAAAAGGATTCAACATTTAACAACAAGTGCAAAAAAAGAAGTATTCTGAATACATAAATCCTCAAATTGTTAAAAACTATAAAATAATCTATTGATGACAGACATGAAACTTCAAAAGTTCAAAAGCTTTGCTAGAATCTTCGACTGACACCGGTGCCGAAACCCTATGGATATCGTGTCAAACTCTTTCTATTGTCTTTAAGTACTGAAGCAAACATAAGACGTTTCGTAAATTCAATTGACGGCGACGACGAGAAACCTTTCTGCTAACGGGGTAGTATCTCATCGCCAATTGGCAAATATACTATGGCAAAAACAAATATGAATTGGCGAATTTCACACTGGAGATTCGCCAGTTTGAATCAATTCAGTTGTAACTCAACTATAGTACTTGATATTGTTACCGATCAAACGGAAATAGCTCAAGTGTATATAAGTACAACGACAAAATAAAACGGTGTCGGTGTGGCTGTGTGTGGGCGTTGGTGTCTCTCCTAATTATCTACACCCACGCCAACCACACCCACACCCACACACCCACACCGACACCGTTTTATTTTGTCGTTGTACTTATATACACTTGAGCTATTTCCGTTTGATCGGTAACAA